CCAACAACCTTGAGGGGGCCACATTTATAAACACATAGTCAAGGCAATGATGATGCACAGTATCGGATCCACCGCCTTCTCCTGGTTCCAGATAGAAGTCCCATACACGGCAGAGTTCATTTTCCAACAGAAGTGCTGTTCCAACGGCTGTTGTATATATGGCTTCCTTGAGTAAATCCTGCACTTGTTGTTCGGAATACTTGGGCTCATCACTTTGAAGGACAAACAAAATCTGCCGATAGGTCCCTGTTTCCTTGGCTGTAGAGGCAGCAATGTTTTTCAGTGTCCACTGAGTGCCTGGGGAAACAAAAAATACTTTTCGATCAGGCACAATCTCATCTTCTTCCTTTTTGTCGGAGGAGTGACCACCCTCTTGTGGTGGTTGTGTGACGACGAGACCGTGATGCCCCTCATCGACCTGCCATCGAATGGTCGGTAGCTCATGCACCACTGTGACGCTCTCGCCTGGGGGCAGTCGAAAGTCGTAGACTTGAATACGCTCGTTTTGGAACAGAAGTTGGGTGAAGCTCTCTGACGACTGTGCCGTCATGGGTTGTTTGGATATCTGTCTATTGCCTTGATGTAGCCTGTAGTAACCCGCTGTTGCGGCTGGATCTGAATCGCTTGTGGCAGCTTTTGACGACATGCTGTGCAAAAAACAAGTCGATCGGGGCACAATGCTGAGAAGCAACACAAGGAATCTACTAACTACCGGTATCACGCCATGAGCCATGAAGCGCGAAGCTCTTGAATGTATTGGGTACTAGTATTGTTGTACTCAAGGATTTCTTCATTGCCGGCGTCGTATTTCTCATGGTTTTGCTGCGTTGCTGCGTTGTGGCGGTGTGATGGTGGTTAGTTACCAGCAACGTCAGGGTTAGGGTTGGCATTTCATCCATGATTATTGCGATCTTTCTTGTCCGCCGCATACCGTACAGTACCGGCACAGGTGTACCGGTACCACCTCCAACCCGGGCATTGCATCAGCCATTGCATTGGGAGACAGGAGCGTTGCTGCTTACCTACAGAATGGCACTCCTACTAGATAGCTAGATAGCCAGTCATCTACGGTACAAGCAGCATGTTGTTCATTTTTAAAATTAATGGAGAGTTTATGGAAGTTATTTCATACAATGCAGTGGTCTAGTTGTGGTTGCTCTATTCAAGCAGCATTCCCGGAGGGCTCACTTGATCTAGTAGCCAGGCGCTCTGGCGCCTTTTCCTGGATCAAATCTTGCTTGAAGCTAGCTACGGTAGCTGGGCGTATGCTTGTGCGTATGCTTGTGCAATTCGATTCATTCACCGAGAAGAAGCATTGAGCTGTTCCTTGATGGCTCTTCTTGGAGTAGCAGCTGTTGCAGATGATGAGGGAGATGCCACATGGAGGTTTTGGCGGAGCCTGGTCACTGTACGTGATCATGGTTGGAAGTGGAAGTGTTGCTGAGAACCAGATGTACCAGGAGCGAAGACACGCAGTGGTTCCATATCTTCTTGGAACAGATTATCATCCCATGGAATGGTTGCTGCTGGTACTACCTCAGTTTCTGTGTCAAAGGCTTTGGAAGCCTGGTTAAAGGCATTGAACATGGACATATCAGCAGCAGAGTCGTCGTCATCACTGTTGTGGCATTCCTTGCTGCCAGGAACAAAAATATGCATTCCCAAAAGATTCTGTTCTTGCTGCTGACCCTGTGCGGCTGAATTCCACGGAGTAGAAGGAAGACCGAAGTTGTTCGATGTCTTGGTGCGAAGCAACAAATCGTGGAGGCCGTTGCTGGTAGAAGGAGGGGCTGACATGCACTTTCGTTCGGAAGATTTCTTCATCAAAGACAATCCGAAAGATGGAGCTGGAACTGGAGCGGCGCTAAAGCTGTCGAAGGCGGGGTCGCTTTCTGTTGTGCTGCTCTTCTTCTTGCGTGGGACTCTATCGATGGTGGCGGCCATCTCAGGCATATCGCGGAGGAACTTTTCGTGGTAGACGCACGATTTGTCGTTTCCTTCGTTGATCACTCTCTTGAAGCCGTAACTGTTGAGCTGACGAACCCAACTGGAGTACTTCAAACGAGGAAACCAGACTGGCATTACCAAATCCATGAGCTTCTTCCTGTCATGGATCTTGAAGGCCATTCCGTGCTCTTGCCAGCTGATGATCTGCTGAAGCTTGGTATCACCATCGCGTTCGGCCCTCGCGTCGATCTCAGTGAGCATCTTGTGTAGGGTGCGAGGAAAGGAGGATTTGAGTTCGGAAAAATCCATGGTAGGAGAAGGAGCTTTCATTGTTTTTGATGTTGTTGGCTTTGGATTTGCTTGGCTTGAAATTGTGAGCAGATCAAAGAGATGAAGTGGAGGTGCGACGATGCGCCAAAGGTGAAAATCGAAAATCGCGACGTTTTGTCCGGGACGGCTTCAACACTGTCTTGGTCGATCCCTAGAAAAACGGTAGTGAGATGCCGTAGTTCCAGTGGTTAAGTAGCATGAAATAAGGATACTTAAAGGCGTAAAACAGCTGTATCGTTCAAGCAGTTTCTCCCTCATGTTGTCCCTAAATACCAAAATCAGCTGATTTCAATTTTTACCGGGTGGGCTGGAAAGCGATGTGGTCGCCGAGCAATCGGTGCTGGTCGCCGTGGTTGCCGATTAGTGAGTTGTAGTGTTGTGGTGGTGAGTGTTGATGGGAAAGTGCGAAGGGGAGCAGGCAGCTGACACAAACACTTCCGAGTGTCCAAATACATAGATGTCCTCAAGGTCTTCAGATCTTCGTTGAACCATTAGGCTTTCTTTTCCAATGGATAGAACAGGCTTCGTTCATCTCCAATCCTCTCTTAACAAACAGAAATTGAGCTCATTAAGTGGCTGAAACGCAAATCCTTCATGCATTCTCGGGATCGGATGTCTTATTTCGTCGCTTACAGCAAATTGTAGCAGGGGTTCTGATTATTTGGCCTGAAAGGCTGAGAGCAGCTCCTCGGATCTTTCCCTGGTATAGCCGATAGCCGAACAGGAGTTTTTGCAGATACCTTCGACATTTTGATGAGGTGGCGACTGTAGCCTTCTTATGAGACAGTTCTCGCTCCCTAATTTACTTAAAGCAGATACACTGGTAACCACAAGCCTCGAATTGCATGAGGTTTTGACGAGACAACAGCCAGTCAACAATTATTGGATCAATTGACCCATTGCAGAAAAACAAAGTATTTTGGAAGGTGGTCGTGTGCTTTAATTAAAGCAAAATTCCAGTTGGATATACCGAAATAAACAGCCACTGAAATTCGCCTGAAGCCAGCTAACCAGCAAGCAACTTCAAGCTAGCTAACCAGCATGAGAATTGTATGTTGGCTTGCGACTTGACAACGCATCCTTATTATTGTGCTGACGTGCTCACCAGTAAAGCTCCAGTACGATACATGTACCGTACCATGTACCTGGTGAGTACAGTGAAAAGGCCCCATTTGGTACCGTCATGCATGGTTCTAGTTGTGGTACTGTACCATCGGCAATGGAATCGGGAAAACTTGTGCTCGAGTTCACGTTGCTTCTAGAGCTAGGTGGCGACGGCTGACGAAGTACTGTAGCAATTGAGATAGTCTGGTCCAAGCTCCAGCTACTAGCGCTACTATCGGCAGCTGCAGATTAGAAGCAGGGTGCGTGGGGTGTGGTACTACATGTAGGTCAACAGCAGGATTACGTGCAAGGTTTTGATGCTGGCCAGCCAGCTCTAGCTAGCTAGCAAGGTCGTCTCTGCCCTTGCTGACTAGCACAGCAGGCTCTTGCTTGCTAGTTGGATGCTACACCAAAGAGCTAGCCCCTGACTCCTCACGTGCTGCCTGATGAAGCTACCGGTACCATTATACTCTGCACTTCTTGTCTATTGTCTATCATTTCTTGGCAGATGAGCTAGCTATCGAGGAGGTCTTCTTTCCTCCTGGAAAGTAGAATAGAAGTTGTAACAGGCACCATGGTCAATAGCAGTTCGGCTTTCAGCCCGAACGTTCACGATGACCCGCCAATAAACATAATTTTGCCATCCTCATATCTTAATTTTATTGTTTTGTGGAACCAACACAGAGACAGATAGAAAGCAACCTCTAGATATACTGAGTAATTCGTAACTGTTCCCAGTTTGCAAGGCCATCACCGCCATGTAGTCGTCTACTTGCATTGGATTCTCCATCCACTCGTTGTAACCAACAGAAGAAACTCAGCTACGTGTACACCAGAAACAAGATGTCAGCCCCTACAGCCGAAAGCGCGAAAGCTTTGGAAATCGACCAAAAGGACATGGAGGAACACATGCAAGGGATGCCCAAAGTTTACGCTTCCATGCGGGATCGACCCCTCACTGTCAAGGCATATGCATTCGATGATCCCAAGGCGCCCGTCGATGCGGTCGTAGTACATTTTGTACGTCATGGTCAAGGTTTTCATAATCTCATTGCGAGTCTTTTTAGTTGCCAGGGAAAGGAATGGGAACCTGTAAGTCTTTGTGAAATGACGGAATTTTTTATTTTAGCCTCAGAAACAACAGTCTTTGACTCCCTTGATTATTGTTTTGATATTGGCAGTATTCGCAAACACGCGACAATCCATACATTATGCAAGAAATTCTAGATGCTCCTTTGACACAGAAGGGACGACAACAAGCCTGTTTACTCCAGCCCAAAATCAAAGAATTGAAAACAAAACCACAGTTAGTGGTCTTATCGCCTCTCTGCAGAGCCCTTCAGACGGGAGTGATTGCTTTTGAGGAGTTATTAGTAGCAGCCGACGTTCCCTTTTTGGCGCACGAAATGGTGCGGGAGCAATCAAGTGTTCACTGTTGTGATAAACGACGTCCAATCTCCAGACAGGCCAAAGAGTTTCCACAAGTTGACTTTAGTCGAATAGAGTCGGATGAAGATGTCATTTTCAAGTATGATAAACCAGAAAGCATCGCTGAGGTTGGGGAACGTGCATACAAGTTTTTGCAATGGCTCTCCGAGCGCCCAGAGAAGCATGTAGGGGTATCGTCTCACTCGGCTTGGCTTTTCACCGTTTTCAACGGCGTCTTGGAGTGTGACGATAGTCTCAAAGATTGGTTCCATACAGGAGAGATGAGAAGCGTCAAGCTGGAGTTTATCCAGAAGTTTGAAAAGCCGTGATGTCAGATGATTGGAGGAAACTTAGGTTGGCTACTTTTTGGTTTGAAATGAGATAGATACCGCTACCGGTAGGATAGGTCTCTACCGGTAGCTAGCTAGAAAGTGTAGTGTAGTTTCGTTTGGGCATTGGAGGCAGGAGGTCTATCCAGCCGGCTACATGTAGTCTAGATCTAGCTAGTGGTTCGGCACCTGCGGAATAACATTAAATTTGCCATTTTGCACCAATATATCTTAATTCTATTGTCACAATTCAGTGGAACCAACCAAGTTCTCGCTCTTGCTCCAAGACTGCGAGAGCAAGAGGTACCAGTACACTGGTGTTGCTTGTGGATAAAGAGCCTTCGACAACACAAAACCAGAGCAAGCTATGGTGTTTGAGCTTTTCGAACGTGACTTGCGGCAAGAAACGTGTACCAAATGTGGCAAGGAAGAAGACCTTCGTAACAACAGAAAACTGCTTCGTTGTGGTCGCTGCAAAGTGACCAAGTACTGTTGCGCTGTTTGTCAGAAGGAGGATTGGAAGGACGTGCACCGCAAAAAAAGACCAATGCCAACGACTGCAGGAAGAGAGGGAACTCCTGGAAAAGACATTCACCTATGACCGTGATGCGGTCAGTCTGTACATTGCAGCGGTGCAGCTGGGATTGGGCATAGCAGGCAGCAAAGAGGACATTCGAGATACCAAGCGATCGATGGAACTCTACGAACAAGCCATGTCATTGGATCATCCACTGGCGTTAGTCCACTTGGGAATGCATTATGAACGAGGAATTGGCGTGACCCAGGACTATACCAAGGCTGTGGAGCTTTACCAACGTTTGTTGTGCCATCCTCGGAGTGCTGGAGAAGATGCCATACAATATGTGCATAAGGCGTTGAGTCGATTTGACAAGTCCGGCCTTGGTGGACTCGAGCAGTCCAACAAATTGGCCACCAAGTACAGTGTTTTCTCTGAAAGCAACCCCGAAAGCGCTGTAGAGCTTGAGAATTTGGAGCAGTGGTGGGAAACCACAGGGCAACATTTGCCTGATTTTCGGGCTCGGTGGGAAGATCATGACGAGATAACAGCCCAGGAGGCGGGCACATGTATTAGAGCAGATTCAAAAGTTGATGGGGGAGTTCAGGTCCATGGTCTGTTGCTACCGGTACCACCTATGACTCATTCAATTTTAAGAAGTGACCTCGTCAAATTCTGGACGCCGTCGCCTTCTGACATTCTCGTTTTCGACAATCCTCAAATCCCAAGGCAAATCCTAGTATCCACAATTCGTGGAAAGACTTTAGAAATGTGGACTATTTCAGAGGAAACCTTGGTTCAAATGGACAACGAGAGAAGACAACCAAGCAGAGTCAGAATGGTGAAGTCTCGAACAAAGTTATGGAAGATGCATGCGTCTCGGCAGCTGAGCTTGTACCGAGAAAGCCCAGACCAAAAGACGGTCAACATGCACACTTCTCTGATGAGTACTATCAGAACTATGCGGGAAGCCGCTACATAGATGCAAAGCAACATACTAGGCGAAGGATGTTGAGCTTCTCGTGTTGAGAGACTGCTATGGGGACTGTCCCGATCTCCTGGGGTGAAGTTCTTTGTTGTGCAATGGGGACGGTGCCGATCCGCCTGAGCTGGGGTTCTTTCTGCGGCAACTGGAGACGGTTGTTTTGTGGAGTATCGATGCCATACCCAGCAGCGTGAGAAATGCCTCAACATCTGCAAGAGCAAGGTAATGTCTGACGTGCACCCTATCCTTTCCGCGGCAGCAAAGCGACAAATTCTCAAAGGAACCGAATCGAGAAAGGATTTACGGTCGGCGCATCCCAGCGGGGATCATGGAGTTTATCTTTTATGCAACGGCTGAATCTGCATTTGATTCTATCGGAAGCAAAGGATAGTCAGCTCCAGTTAGTTAATAGCGGAAGCGTGTTTCACCATCTGAAGGTGCATACAAGGACCCGTCTCTTGCCGTGCTAGTTGAACGCAAATCCGTGGATACTGGACAAATTCTGTTGTGTCAGTCTAATGACAAAGTTACCCAACGGCCCAGACACGTACGAGTAAACGCATCGGTAGGAAGACCAGAACAACGAAGTCAGATTGAATGCTCATTCGAATGATTCGTTTACCGGTAGCACACAATCTTCTTCGAAATCAATCAATCAATCAATCAATCAAAATCGACAACCATGCGCCTTCCTTTGATCGAAATATTCTCCAACCGAAAGTACCTCCTTGATGCGACTGGGAATTGGCGCAAGTACTCGTGGGAACGCGAAGAAAACGAACAATTGCTTGATTCTCTCCAATGCATCGGCTCTGCTTACGACAAGCTGCAGCTTGGATTTACAATGATTTCGACCAAGCAGAACGAGGGCGAACGAAGCAGAGAGCTGGGCCCCAACGCTGTAATGTACGCTGTCCACGATGGCCAGCAGCGGTTCGTGTCTATCAACCTTTTGCTTGCTGCAATTCGTGACAAATGCCGACGCGCCCACTCTGATGGGCCCGACTCCACTGCTCATAATTCTTGGAACGCCATTGCACCCGGACTTGTCGGGAGCAGGACTCGTGGAAGTCGAGTTTCGCGTATTCAAAACGGGAGTCGCTGCCTTGAAGAGTTGTTGCTGGCACCGGAACCAGTCAACACGGACAGGCTCAACGCCCTGGTAAAGAGCTCTTCTGACACAAAAATTGTGGCCGCGTTTGAGTTTTACAAAGACAAGGTCGAAGAAATGAAGCCGCGCGAAATCGAAGGTCTCTATGCGAAGCTCGTGAACTCCACGTACCTGTTCGTGATGATTTTTGACGACCCAGAAATCCCAACACAGCTTCTGTTGTCCACTACCCACGGAAAGAACTTTGAGAACGTTGACCTGTTCAAAGGCTATGCTTGCTTCGATCGAGTTAAGTCGGAAGAAAGGCAACTGGAGGCCAGTGAAGCATGGGAAAAGCTTTGCGAATGTACAAGTCGAAAGCTGGTGGAGGACGCTTGCGTACTGACAGCCGAGATGATGCTTGGCAAGGTTAGGCCAAGTGATAAAGGGCGGCACCTGTCCTTCTTCAAGGACTTCTTTGTCGACTTTATACGCGAGCATCCTGAAGTTGACGGATTGCAGATTTTCGAAAGGGTGCTGCGCCCTGCAGTAGAGCACCTCCATAAATTTCGCGGCAAACCAAAAGCAAAACTGTCAAAGGGTGCTTATGAGCTAGCCGTATCGTTTCGATTTCTGCAGGAAGCCTCCAAGTTGAGCACAATTACCAAGGGAATTGAAGTCCTTGTGATGAAGGGTCTTGTGAACTATAAGATGCCGTCTCCGGAGCTCACTTTGTTCTTGAAGCGCGTGGAGATCGTCGTTCTTTGGTTGCTCTTTGCAAAGCCCTCCCTCAAGGAAAGACGAGAGTGCACGATTAAGATCCTGAAGCTACCCTTGGAACCGAAATCCTTTATTAGATCTATGTCGAATGAATGGATACCCGACGAAGGGAAGAAAGCAATCGTTCAGGCCATGAGCTCCGTCAACGAAGCCACCGGAAGCGCAAAGAAGGGGTGCAAGATGGAACCCGTCTCGAAGAAATTAGTGCAGTCTGTGTAGCTTCTAGTAGTGAGTCTACGTGAAGTTGAAGTTTGGAGGAACAGTCTGGACTCGACTCCACTCAGTCTGGACTTCTTTCTAGGTGACAATTTAACGGTCACATTTTGGTTACTTAGGGTGCGCTTCTCAACTGGTTCCAACAGGAACACGTCTCCGCTGGTTGAGTCTCGCTGTCACTTAAGTCTCGCCTGGCCGGTCTCGCGTGTTCCGAGCCGTTGGCTCTCCTTTCCACTCTCGCCCGGCCAGTCTCGCCTTAAGTGCCATCTCGCCTCTAAACCAGAGGAGACGTGTTCCTGTATAGAAAAGGTTTTGCTACAACGACTGAATCTTCAACGGATTCTGGATAGGAACAAGGGTCGACTGCCTTTCGACGAACCCCCGTCCATTGTAGCGTTGGTCAGTGCCAAAGGATCCAAGGTTTCAAGTGCTCCTTGTTTCGGGAATCTTGTGTTTGCGGAGAAGAAACTATCTGCTGGTACTCGTATGGGGTTGCACGCTTGTGACTACAAGCGCTTGAAGGATTCCGTCTTTCCTTTCACCAAGTTTATATCCAGTGGGTACAGCGAGTGGACCGAAGAGACCATCCAGCAGAATCAAAACAGGCTTGTGGGAGAAGTGAAGGACCTGTGGGGACTTGGCGGCGGTGATGGCGGGGGTAACAAGAAACGAAAGCGCCGTTCAAGTCCCTGTGTCTCCGGGAAGCATGTGGCGGTTTAGAGTCGCCCTCTTTGAACTGTTTCGTGTGCATAAATTGCAATGTTTGGTCCAATACTGGACGGTACTAGCAGCGCACGGCTAAAGTATTATAGCAATTCTACATGTACCTCACTTATCTATACTTCGTGACTATGTACCTTACGGTACCGGTACCTTGAGCACAAGAGTTCAGTTTCACAAGGTACAAAAGTACATCGTAGGAGTATTGGCGTGGAGGTTGAAGCGTGGAGTGTCTGTCAGCGGGCGCGAAAACCGTTTGAATCCTGAATCTTGTCCACGCCACCGGACTGGCTAGAAAGCGTCCATATGTTGACCACTGGGAAATGCAGCCTCATTCTCCTCATTCACAGTTGCGCCTTGCGCCCATCCCACTCAAGACCATCCATCACAAGAACGAAAAAGGCAGGCAACATTGATCGCTGCATGACAACACGGAACCACTGGTTTCGGGAAGCAGCAAGTTGTGCTCGTAAATTTCTCCAATCAATAAAGTCACAAACCAATCAGCTCAAATAATAATCTAAAAACAAATGAACTTTCTCCGCCAAAAAGCCGACACCCTTTTGAACTTTCGGGTAACAGAGTCTCGCGATGATGCAGTGCCTTCCACGGTGGAAGATGCTGAAATGAATGCTGCAATTGAAGAAATGAAAGAACGCTTGGCGGAAGCTCGCGCCTTGACTATCCTGAAACGGAAACAATACGAAAAAGAGCAAGAGGCGCTACAAGAAGACTATGTTACAGCGAAGTCTGCCTACACGGATCGATTGACTGCCATTGTCAAGTCACCACTGAAGGAGTATTTGGCCGCCACCAAGAAAGTGAGAGACTATATTGTACCTGGCGTGGTGGCGACACTGCAAGCCCAACTGTGCCTGCATGTCCACGGCATTTGCACTCATAGCGAGGCCATTGTGTCGACCAAGGCTCACGCCAGCGAAATCATTTATTGGTACGAAGACATGGTCAAGCAATTGCGACGTGATCAAGCCGATCAAGAAATGGGACTGATGAACAAAATTGTACAGGCCAAAATTGAATTGGGGAGTCTGGTGGATGCCAGAAAATTGCGAGAGCGAAAGACAGAAGATGTCTCTACTGGGACAATGCGAACACTCAGCAACAGCAGCAGTAGCCACCACAATCGATTTGCTAGGACTGTCAGTCTCCAGAAAAAGGGAAATACCGACACTGTTCGACGAATGCCAAGTCGAAAACAATTTTCTCATCATCGTGCAGATTCCAAAAAGCAACACCAAACCACAACAACAACAATCAGCACTGGAAGTCGACAACGGATCATCCGCAACGTCAGCCGACGGGGCAACGCGCACCAGCGACCCAGCCTTTCTGCGGCGGCTCAAGGAGCTGTCTCGCTCAGAAAATTGCAACAATGTACAAGTACAAAACCGTTGGAGGACGACATTATGACTACTACCGGGCGCCAACGTCCCGGCAACATGTCAGTACAATCGACCTTGTCGGCCCCAAGCATTCCAAGCACTCCAGTCGACAAAGATGTGGTAATTATGGATACCTGCAACGAAGAAGGGTCAACCAGCAGTGCAGAAGAGTCAAAGGACACTGCAAACAACCCATCTGGACTGGAACAACCCTCTGCCGAAATTTTGGCTCGGCGGGAGGCCCGCAAAAAGGCCCGACAAGGCCGTGACGCCAGCCCTACTACCAGTCCAACTACTACTCCCGTGGACGAAACCGACCAAAGCAGCAGCCGTGGTCGTCCCAGCCGCAGATACGTTCAGAGAACACGGTCCAAGTCGCTTTCCTCCAAAGATCAAGAAGAAACCCGCCGGGGTGGCCGAAAACCTCCGGCACGAAACGTTTCCAAGGACGATTCTGGAATTCTAATGGAATCTCCCATTCTGCGACGAAAGACCACTCATGAGTTGTTGCGTGGATTTTCTCCGACACCTCCCTTGATGGCAAACAGTCCTGGAAGCTCTCAGTCATCCCTGCACTCGCAGGAAGACCGTGGAATTTCGGCCATGTTTCATCAAACCTGGAGAGGATTCATGTCCAGAGGACAGCATGATGCGGCCAAGGCACCTCCCTCACCATCGAAACGTGGTGCATGGGTGGGCTGAATTGAACTGGACTGAATTGAACTGAAAAACACAAATCAAAACAAACATTTTATTGTGGATGAAATTCACGCTTGGGGACTATCGAATGTCGCTTTCTTTCGCTATTTTTTATTGGATGCCGACTTATTGCCGTCGAGTGTGGCCACACAAGGAACGAAAGCGGCTTGCCGAAAGTAATGCATATCTGCTTTTTGAGTTGCAGTTTTTCGGCGTGCCCCAAAAGAGTAAATGATAATGGTAATGGTAAACAGCATGTAGCTTATCCCAATATAGTGTTTCATCAAGCACGATAGATACATTTATCCCACGCATACACTGGTGGCTAGGTTTGAGTCTGCTGTGATTTAGCTAGGAATTGACTCGGCAACTTGCTCATAAAGGTAGCCTGCGATAGCCTTGGTTTACTGGCATATCAACCGAAATGCTACAGTACCAGGCAGGCAATGGTGGTGACCAGCAAAATCATTTAAGCTAAGAGAGGATAGTATCATCCAAACTGATACCAGAGCACCGGTGCTGGTACCAGTACCATTCTCGCTTGGTTCTGTAGGCTCTGTCAAAACATGTCCACACCCGAACACAATGACTCCATGGCTTGACGGATCCTGCAGGTGGCAAAGACATGGCTTGAATAGAGCCACCGTGCCGCTAGCTAGCAGTACCGTACCTGAATTGGTAGATAATTTCGGGTAGCCTCATCCCATGACGATGCCAGTTCAATGGAAGATGCGAACAGTGATAGATCAATCAAGTACTAGTAAGTTTGCATGAAACAAGGGAGACCCGATCCCAGCATGATGCCAGTGCTTCAAAAACCGTCAAGATGTTCGGAAAATGCTTGAAAATGTGAGGAGCCTTCGGGTTTCTACTCTTGAGTTATGACCCTAGGAGCTTCCACTTGCAGCCCCTTAACGCTTTTTGTTCCTTGCCCCTGGTTCCGTGTTAATTGCGGAGATAGGTATGGAAAGGGCCCGAAATCAGGATTTTAATTAAGAATCCAATTAAATTGATCAATTCCAAACCTAAATATAAAACCGAAACCAAAATATAAAACCGAAACCAAAATATAAAACCGAAACCAAATTACTATGGTAAATAACTAGTGAAATCAAGCCGAAACCTAAATATAAAATCGAAACCTAAATATAAAACCGAAACCAAAATATAAAATCGAAACACAAGTATAAATCGGAATTTGGTGTAAATCGCCATTTCGGGCCCTTTCATAGGTAACTGTTTCAATAAGCAATAAGTACTTCTATCTAGAGGGAGGATCTCATCGGAACAGAAAGGAAGGTCATGCAAAGCGAGATAGAAAGAAGCTGCGGAATTGGATTCCGATTTCGGATCCAAAGCCAAGCTGCCGAAGACACAAAAGCAACAAATAAACAAAATCAATTGAACCACGTAAGCAAAAGGTCTTCTTTCATCTGTTCAATTGCAGTGACCAACCAACAAACCACAACAATGGCATCGGCAGCCGCAGCAGCAATCCTACCCATAACAGAGACTGCAGCCACCAGGATGACAGCAGGAGCAGCAGGCAAAATCGTGCGATGGACCAAGAACTCTTTGGCGAGGAATAAACAAGCCATGATAGACCCGAGCAATTTTTCTCGAGTTTTGGCCCCTCCAGTTTTGGATCTGGCCAGAGATGTATCATTGCGATTGCAGGATCAACGATCTCAGGTAGAAAAGCTACAAGATTATGTGACCAAGAGTCTAGAGGGTGGCAGTCTGGGAAGCGTTTCTCAGGAAAATATAGATCCCAATGTGGGAAATGGCAATCCAACAGCGGAAAAGAACAAAAAAATCATTGCCACTTCTTCGCAACCGTACTGGTGGAATCAGTTGCAAAAGGAAGAGAAGACAATGATGACAAGCGAAGAACGGCAAAAGCGTCGACAAGCACTGGAAAAGGCCCGTCAAAATTTGCACAATCTCAACAAGTTGCATGAGAACACACAGGAAATCGCCGAAACGTTTTGGGCCCACTTGGAAACCAACAAGACGGAAAATCCCGTATTGGATAAGCGAGAACAAAAATGGCTCAAGGCAACCTTTCGGCAGATTCGAGATCGGCATGCCTTGACTGTGGAGGATCTGGCCGAGTTTGCCATTACGACAAGACCCTAC